CAAGTTTAAAAGTATTATTGTCATTAAAACGAACTGGACGAATATAAGAGAAAGTCACACGAATATTTTTCTTACGTCTTAAGGCCCCACCCCCCTAAAAAAAGTCAATTTTCGCCAGAAAAATCGAAATTGAGATAAATGCATGGGAAGATAGCCCAAGTTCTGCTCTTTCAGAAACGCTATGATTTTTTATTGGGCGCCCCTTTTTTGACAAAGTTTTTAATTCTTTTCTATCATCGACTGCTAAAAAACGCGATTTTTTTCTAAAAAAAATATTTTGAGGTTTTCGCATGGAGAATAAGTACTTTAATCAAGTTATCGAGATTGCTCGAAATCCAAATACTTTATGTAAATGAGCTTCTCTGACATAGATAATCCCAAACAAATAGAAAGAAGAAAACGAACTTTATTGAGATAATGCTAAGTTATCTTTTATCACATATACAAATAGCAAAAAAAAGAAATATGTTTATATAAAAAAAAACTAAAAAGTTACTATTTCAACAGTTCAGTTGTCTTCATCTGAATGTTTCCATTTTCGGCTTTTTGGATTATAATAAAGATCTTCTACATGTTGACTGTCACCATTATCATTCTCTTCATCATCACTGCTATTATCTTTTTCATCATCACCATCATCTTTGCTACTATCAGCTGTTCCATCATCAATATCACCATCTTCAGAACTTATATCACCAGAACTACCATCATCAGAACTATCATCTTCCGTACCATCATCATCAGATTTACTATCACCAGTACTATCATCTTTCGAAGCATTATCATCAGAAGTAGCATCATTATCATTTTCTTCATCAGATGTTTCACTAACATCATTGGTATTAGATGCATTAGTATTGTCTTCTTCACCGGTATCTTTGATCGTTGCATTAAAAAAAATCAAAATTTTATCATTTGTCTGTGCGGAGATATTCGCAAAATAAAGCATGTTTTTTTTTGCGACATCCGCTATTTCAAAAACTTGTTTCACGTTTTTCTCAGAAGATAGGTTCGACGACGTAGCGCCACCGCCATTCGACCACTATTCAATATAAAGTCATATATTTTTTTTTGTTTGAAAGGTCGTGTTTAGGGCTAGCTCCTCTCGTGGCCCGATTTTTAAAATAAGCTTTTTATTATTATATAAGAACACATCTTCATAGAAAAAGCGCCATTTTTTCGCGGTTTTTTGAGTCATTGAACTTGTCACTCCTTTTCTTCGCCTAAAAAGTAAGAATTTAGAAAAAGGGCCACGAGAGGGGCTAGCCCTAGAGACAAGCTTTCAAACAAAAATATATATATATATATATATATAATGAGAGTCTACAGAGAAATTTTGGCGCTGAAATGAGCTATTTTTGACCCTTGTTTGGTTCATATCTCTGTCAAACGTCATGGTATCGAGCTGAAAATTTTACCACAGCCTCCTCACTTCAGCCCCAACATATGCTCCAAGTTTCAGCCCATTTGAACGTACCTGAGATAAGACCGGTTTTTGAGGGGGGGTGGGGCCTTAAGCACTGCATGAGAACATAAGAGACAAGAAAGTTTAAACCCGTTTTCCAGTTCTCAATTGACTATGACAACTGGCAAGTATATATTGTACTGCACGATCAGGAAAATAGACATAACTAAAGGAACATTACATAGACTTCTTTGTTAGATAAACAAAAAGAATTTCACGACACCGATTCACCGATATCAAATCAAACTATTTTTCTTGATAATAAAATGAATTTTGTTTGTACTTTGCTGATAGTTTCTAGGACGTCTTAAATGTTTCTTTTCGCTCACTTATGTTATAAAACGCTCTATATGTATATCTCTTCCACGAAAACATATTAAGCGCCAGTCAAACAATGATGAATCATATTAGATAGATTCAGTTCAACGACTGTGCATTCCTGTAATTATAAGCCACAAATTAACAATAAACCTGAGACAAACTCGTCATGCTTCAATAATATATTGAACATATACGTAATTTTAAACCAAAGTATTTTATTATATGAGACAAAACAGGATGAAGAGCAACGAAGGGGAGAGAGAGGGCAGATGGAGGAAGAGATGCAAGCGGAGAAGGTGTACAATGATTTTTTTGGATAGTCATCCGCTCTTCAATCCGCCATCTTTATATGAAATGTTCAACTCCACATTTGTTCACTTCCTTTGTATTCACAATCTCGCAAAGTAACTGAGTGTGGAGGTCCTTTATCAAAAGTAAAGACAACTTGCTTATTACTGTCAATTGGACCGAAGTTGAACGCATAATAAGGATTATCGCCGCGATGCTCTCCAGCTCGGTTATCAATAGTAGCTCCAGTAACAATTCGTCCTCCTGTATTCAAAAGCCCAACATTATGGTAATAGGCATTGCCATAATCTGTTCCAGGCTTGTAAAAGCAACGAGGTCCATGGAAGTTGAAAGCGCTACTATCAGTGAATCGAACACTACAATGGGTTTCTCCAGGTGGTTTGTTGTTAGTAAGCCTGCCCCAAGTAGAACCATATAAGTCAAGACCTCCTCCATAGTTGGAGTTTGTAATAATAATATTCAATGGCCCATTACCACAATCAACTTTCAAAACGTGACCACATAAATCTGGCCGAAACTTGAGATGTTGCAAAGATCCAATACTTCCAAGAGCAACTGGATTGATAACAGCATAATTTGATACTGGAAGTGCACAAGCACCAGCTTCATGAGCGCCATGGCGTGTTGCCAAAACACCATGAAGGACATTACCTGTGCCAGATACGGGTGAGTGTGGATGATCCCTTACACCACAGACCATATCATGTCGACCGGTTGGGAAAGCATCACTTTTCGAAACATGGCCTGATTTCAGCCAGCACGTACCACCATTGTACCGAGTCCATGTAAAATGAGTACATCCATGAGTTTCGGCGCACTTTCCGCCGCAATGCTCTCCTGAAATTTGGACGCTATACATATCATTTCCCCGAAAATCACACGCAAATGCCCAGTTTCCATTCCAATTCACATTGCATTGAACACCCTGGAGAGTCAAAATATTTACTGTCATAAATGCAACCAACGTCCATATAGGCAGAATATTGATCATCTTCTGATTGTTGTTGTATTTTAATCCGTATTTGAAGATGACTTAATTCTATAATTAAAAGTTGTTTCTCCCCATTTAGCACAAATCATGTGTTGTAAATCTCATTCATCATTCAAATAAAGAAGAAGAGCTCCTTAACATCTCGACATTACTATAACATAAGTTCAACAATGCTTAAACATTGTATCTGTTGTTTACATACTTCTGTAGTTTTTATAGTATCTGTTCTCGTTTAACATTAAAAATATGCTGAAAATAATGAGTTATTTTCAAATATTCTCTAGATGAAATTTGTGCTTGATCTTAGACAATCAAATGATCGATCGGTTTGTTTCATCTATAATAAAATGCTATGGCACATACTTCGAAACATTGAAAAAATCGTTACGATATTTTTCGTTGTTTGAGAGTAATAAAGAATTTAAAATAGGGAGCTACTTTTCAAACAGCCTGAAAATAATAAGTTACAAAATTATGGTGGAGGATCCTAAACAAATATCTGTATTCTTCAACTTCATTGGAAACACAATATTTCAAATCGATGAGAAAATTAGATAGAGTGGTTCACAAAGACAGTCAGACTAAGAAAGCTAATACAATTGACATAAAACTTATTAGAAGAGTTCATCAAATAACGGCATTTAGTATAACGAAATATTGATACTCACTGATGGAGCTTTTGTACATTCATCTGTGAGAAAATTAAATTAGTGTTTAGAAAACTTGAATTCTTACAGAAAACCTGATGAACAAATTTGATAAAGAAATAAGAACTTCGTTCAACTGATCAACAACAAAAATATTCGTACCTTGTGGTATTATATTTATGATAGATAGTATTTGTCTTTACTCTTGAATATACTCATCGCAATACAGCTTAACGAGAAGTTCGGTCTACTTACGCTATCAATGTTGCACGATTGTATTCTGCTGTAGGTTTTGTTTGATGGATAGTAATCCATCGTGTGACATATATATATTACTCGAAATAAGTAACAGGGAGTTTCGTTACTTTCCCCTATTGACTAACAGAAAGGAAGTATACCCACTAGAAAAACACAAGGAAAATTTGTTAGAAGTGGGAATCTTAGATGTTGTCATCTCTTATTTATTGTATGTGATGTTCTTTACTCTGTTGGCGTCCTCCATGTGTTTTTCCTTTCTGTAGTCTGTATTTTTTGTTCTTTGTGCGTCAGATACGCGTTCTCATCTTTTGTGTGTTTTTCCTTCTCTGTATTAGGGGTGGTACTTTACTTTTACTTTATAAAATAAAAGTAAATGAATCCTTTACTCTTAAAAAATAAAGATAAATGGATCCTTTATTTTTAAAAAATAAAGTTAAATAAATAAAGGAAAACTTTATTT